TTTTTTTTTTTTACCTGGAAGAGCAGGTGAGAAATTAAGATCTATATATGCACTCCAAGGGAATAAACACAAGCGTTCTGAAATAAGACTTAACAGAGTAAATATTTCAGAAATGATAAGTCTGAAAAAAGTGTAAACTATTATAAAATGACTAATGTGTTTGATGTAAAGAACAGGTCAGAAAATCTATGCAGTCAATAGGTTAGGCAACTAGCAGACTCAATACGGAGATAGCGAGGAACAACCTCAACCACCACTAAAGTGCTTATCCTTGAAGCATTAATGATCTAAACAGGATCAGTGATCTTGTCACATAAAATCAGCCTCCAAGAGTGTTCTTTAATAAACCTAGTAGATGAAACGGGCCTAACCCAGAGCCAGTCTGCAAATTAGTTAATATTAGACATAACTTCTTTTGGATAATTATTACAGTCTATACAAGCGTATATATTTATGAAACTCCAGAACTAATCCATTTTTATTAACAGTAGATCCCATATTGGAAACACGAGTTTCACTAAAAAACTATTAAATTGAATTAGATAGTTCAACTTCTGCACCCCAAGACATCATAGTGCATGTTGCAGTTTTATAAGGACAAGCAGACAGATTTGTCAACAGTGGTACAAACCAGTGACATACCTTATCTGCTCCTATAATAATGCTTCTTGCTAGTGGAATAATTTTGCTGCTACGTTCTATATCATAACCCAAGAAATATTTCGCCTGAGATAGCGCAATTACAATGGCTGAAGCAGTCGTAAAACCGGAAATCACAGAATGACTGATGAATCGAATAAGCCACCCAAGCCTAGATGTTAGAAATAAGTAATCAATATTAGAGAGTTCTATCATCTTAAAAAGGTGCAGTAAATATTGAACTGGAAAAGGGAAATTATCAACATTAACAGTACAACCTGCAGCAATAGTTGCAGATGTATTGAATTAACCAAGAAAATAGCCCGCACATGGGAATATGTAATGTCATTTCTTCATTTATTCTATAGACTTGAATGATATGTTCACTTCTTCATGCATTTAAAACCAATGACTGACATGCATAAATGTTTGACGTAAGAATGTTTACTAACACGAAAACCATTAAATAATACAAAATAAACAAACGATCACTAGCTAAAAGCTGGGGAAAAAATACATTTAAGTGTACAAATGACCGTTGAAAGTCATTAGTTAACTGATTCTTCTACTGGTTTCGCTTGAGACAAATAAACTTGAAAACTTCCAAACCAAACGGCACTACCTAACTTAACCATAATCAGCTCTACTCCCCAAACACTACCAACTTGTGATTCTCAACTACTTGCCGGCTGAATCACTTCAAAAAAACTTGAGTCAACACAAACAACTTCTTTGAAAACTAAAATTCAATGAAGCCCCATTACGTTATACAATATGTCCAATGGTGATCAAATAATTAATATACTAGCAATTCTATGAATGTCTAAATGCGAAAATAAGCATACTGGCGTTGAAACTTGAAAGCAAAAGTTAAAATAGCAAGCATATAATTTGATCAACAAGCCACACCAATGATTGAGAATGGAAGTGAAGAAACAAGAATAAAGGCATCAGCACCTCAAAAGTCCCATGATGCATTCCAAAACACCAACCATAAGTGCCAATAGTATCGCAAGCTCTGTATACAACTGCTCTGATGAATCAACTATGCTGCTCAGTACATTAGACACCAGGAGAGAGGTCAATGCAACAGGCCCGATTGCAAGCTGGCGAGACGACCCGAATATGGCATACACAAATATAGGTACAAAACCAGAGTCTGAAATACACAAGCGTGCACATGTTAAACGAAGCAAGTGATAGCCACACAAAAACATACGGACATACATAAAAGATAGACAACCACAAGTTACGGAAATGGCATGAACTAAAGTTTTGTAGGCACATACAGGAAACTTACATAGTCCATATATAGGGTGCAACCCAGCTAGCTTCGCATACGACATGGACTGTTATACAAACCAAATGTCACGCCCACAAATTTTAGGGGGAAAAAAAAACAGGAAAACGAGAAACAGAACTATAAACGAAAAATCAAAAAGGATTTGTCCTAGGAAGTACCTGAGGGACAAGCATGACGCCGACGGTCATGCCGGCCATAAGGTCGGCTTGCAGATATTCGCGCCATTTGTAGTTGCTAATCCAACGGTGGCAGGGTAAGAAGAGCTGAATCCATTCCGTCCTCGTCATCCGCTTCATCCTCGCCGTCCATTTACCCCAAAATTTGGAATATGGCGCGGTTGAGCCGGACGTGGTCGGGTGCTGCAGCTGGATTATTTTCACGGGTCGGGTCGCGCCACCGTACGACGTCAGGTCGCCGGCGCTCGGGGAAGAGCAGCTTAACCCCTCCATAGGACTCGATTGAATTGGTGGAAAACGAAGACCATACAGAAAAATCTTTACGTTGAATGAAAACAGTTTGTTGATGGGTTTGCGAATTTCAACGCAATTATATATGTATGTATTTTATCAAAAGTATAAATATTTCCACCTGATATGAAAAATTGAAGAGAAAACATATTTTATTTTTCCTTTAATGTACTTATAAAAATAAAAATATACCAATAAAATTATACTCCATTTCAATAAAAAATACAAACTTATTGTTCAATTTCAAAAGAACAAATAAAATTTGGACTGTATTACAATAATGGGAAAGCTAAGTCCCGTTACGAACCATTCCGTCTGGATTTATAACCTTCAAAGAATAATTCCGTAATAGGATTGTAGAATTTTCTTTATAATAATAGAGTCATGCTATTCTTAGGCTGAACTAACAAAAATTTTCAAAGAGAATATTATTTAATTAAAAAAAATATGATATTTAATAGTATGTAAAATCATAAATATAAAATGAAAAGCCGCAATATGTGATTTCAACTATTGAACACGAGGAAGAAGTATCCATCAGTGAATGAGGTCGTTTTTGCGGGCAAGTACAGAATGTAGAGATCAAGAGATGCCAACAGTCCAACTATACATACTTCCCTAAATTGTTGTGGCCACCATTTTTTATTTATTTATTTTTT